TTCCCCAAATCATAAGCAACAATTATTTTTATTAGGTTTGGGGGGTGGAGTAGATTTAATAAAGTGCACAGAACGGTGACACCCACAAAGCCTTATATAAAGGCAGGATTCATGCATCCTGCTGCAAGTACCTCTGCACTAATACACCAGATCCTAAAATGCATATAAGGTGGACTAGCATCTTAACTCTGCTAGTTGATTGTGTCTTTACTGAAGAGAACCCAGCTACCAATTTGCCTTTTTTTTACACCACAAATCCTAATTAGAAACTTGAGATTTTATAGAAATCATTTAATGATAGCGATTACATATGTGAATTAATGTGAATATAGTATCTGTGCTTCCTGTGTCTGTAACTATTTTAAGTTATAATTGTGCTGTGCTATCAGATTAACATTTGGAAGTTTCTAGAACAGTTAATGCTATTTACAGAAAGGAGTGGACACTCATCAACTGGCACTCTCTTTGATTTTTATATTTTAAATTAACTCTCTTCGAACCCAATTAAAGTATATTTTATGAGTAATTTTATTAGGAATCTCTTAATTATAGTGCCCCAATGGGATAAGCTATTTGCCTCTTTTCACAGTTCTGAACTTGGAAAGAAGCAAAGTATATGTAACTGAACCACTTATTTGTCTTTTTATTGCTTTTTCCCTTCTTTTATATGCTAAATCAAATACAAATTTGTGGATAGGGAAGCAATATGTGAATCACAATGTAGCAGAGGCAGACCAAGCATTACATTATTATTTAGAGTTGTACTTTTAGAGCTGGACTGCACCAATTACTTGTCCTCGTGCCAAAGGCAAATGTGTTCGCACCTTTTTTTTTTCTTCTGATTCTCAGGTTGATTAATATTGCTAATGCAAATGCTCAAGTAGATGTTTAAAAACTTTACAAAATAGATTCAAGTGATACTTTCTTTTAAAAGTGAAGAGTTGATGATTACACATAGTAGATTCATGAACTACAGTAGGTTTGTATCAAACAATTTTTTAAATGAAAATCTGTTGAGGTGTACACAATATGCTTCTTGATTGTATTAGTCCTTGGTCTCTGCTAGACCTCACGAGTTTCATCATTTAGAAAAGGGGTAGAGGATGAACTAATGTGGTCTCCTTCAGATGTAAACATGAAATACCTAGAGTTTTAATTGCTTTTCAATACACTGAATAATTTTAAATGATTCCGACACAGATGTAGACCTTTTGGCTTATAAATTCTGAGGAAACAACTCTGACAACTTAAAATATTTACATTCTTAATGTTATAACACAGCACAGTGACTTTCTTCTTTCAAGATTGTAGCTCAGAGAAAAGATACAGGATTCAATTGGGGGTTCAACAGGATATAAATGGAGAGATTCCTTTGTGTTGTAGTAGAGGCATTTTCCTAAGGAGTATAGATTTATATTTTGCATTTTCATTCATCATCCCCCAGAATCATGGTCAAGGTGTAGGTCACTCCACACAGCTGATGCTCAGGTTATTCCCTTGTGAGAATTATGAGAATAAAGCTCCCAAGGTATGTGAAAGTGCTTAACACAGTACCTGGCACACAGCACTCAGTAAAAGTTTGGCTCTATTATGGGATGGTTCAATTCTGGTTTAAGGAAGTAAGAAAGGTTATATATATATTTATATTTACCACTAAGCAAATACACACACACACACACATATGGGTTTTTTCCCCTAATATTTGGGTGTCCCCTGTGCTTCTTTAGGATGTAGTTATAACTAAACCTGTTATACTTGAACATCACTAAGAGAAGTAAATTATTATGAAGCTAGCAAAAATCTGAGGCCAAAGTTGTTTCCTAACAGCTTTAATAATGCTTGTTGATTTTGAATAATCCTTTAAAAAGTGGACCATTTGCTTATTTTAATATTATCACGTCAGTAAAATGTTAGTATTAAAAAGATCAGCTTTTTATGGCATTGAAGAATGTATCTGCTAAGACACAAAAATTGCATGGTAAGTATATTAGGTGGAGGAGGAAAGGTTGTAGGCTGGATGAAAATTTAACTGACTAGAACATTTATTCAGGAGTGTAATTATTTTCCCTTACCCCAATCCCTGTGTATGTGTTGCGCATAGTTATGACATTATCTGGATTTGCAAATAGACACAACTTTCATTCCTACCCTGTCTATTGTTTAAGAGTGATAGACTGTTGTTCTCTTGCTGGTAGAAAATCTAAGGTGGAGCCCACTCTTCTCTGCTGAAGTTCACCAGGCAGAGCGGTTTTGTTACAAGTCAGCTACTCTGCTTGGTTTATTTTAGGTTTTGGTACTTCACGTAAGCACTGTTAGAAGGTACAAGTGTATTAATATCACTAGTTTTGAGGAGCTTGGGTACATTTGTTTTTAATATATTTAGAATGTGCAGTAAACTTTTTTCTCTCATTTTTTTTTTCTTTTTAGCAAACTTGTTATTTTAGGTCCAATTATTGAGTTGACAGTCTACTGTGAGAATGAGATGACATATCTACTGTGAGAATACCATAAATGATGAATAGTTTGAGAACTTTTATACTCAGTGGTGTTTTATATATTAAGATAAAAATATGTACACACATGCATGTCACATCTCTCTACTGTGGAGTTAATGTGAATTTTTAAAAAATGGAATTGCAACCACAATCATATCTAAGAGAACATTCACTCCTAGTGAGGGTTTACAAAAGCTACTAAGAGAATAAGGTAGATGATAATGCAAAGGGTCATGATTTGGGGTTATTTTTGTTTTATTTTAAAATTTATAGTGCTACTTTTGAAAGAATTGTTTTTATGACTGCTCTTTTTGTGATTGAAAAGTCATCTAATAGAAGCTGTATAGAAGCTACTTTTTAATTGCTGGCAAACAGCTTTAAGTGCACTTTCTTTGATTACACTTCCATTTTTTGTTAAACTTGAATTTTCTGAAGCCTTTTATGTACCACTAAGCAAATAACTTTAACCTTTAAATAAATCAGATTTACATCTTTATTGTATTTCTACTTGTTACAAAACATACTTGCTGAAGTAACTTCAGTCCTCAAATATCGCTGGGAAACAGTTATGAGATAGACTCAGTCTCCCCTGCCATCCCCTTCCCCCTGCCATATCTAATTAAGCACTAACTGATTTTATTACTTTATTGCCTTTACATTGCTTATTCTTTTTGACTGAATTCTGTCCCTGATTCACTATATTTTGTTTGAAATTTAAAGTTATTTTCTTACTCTATTTATCATACCTGTTTTAATCTGTTTTCTTTAAATGCAATAAATCCCAAATGCATTGCATATTCTTTATAATCAGTGACTTTGGAGTTTTTCATTATTTGTCTTATTACGACGTTTGAATGTAAACTTCTATTCAAATTCAGTTATTTCATTCACACCACAAACATTAAGGACCTATTATGTAGCAGCTAGTGGAATAGAAAAGTTATACCTGATGTAAATGACGAGTTGATGGGTGCAGCACACCAACATGGCACAAGTATACGTATGTAACAAACCTGCACGTTATGCACATGTACCCTACAACTTAAAGTATAATAATAATAAAAAAATTAAAAAAAAAAAAAAAAGTTTGTAAGATTAGATCCCTATTCTTAAGGAGCTCACCGTTTACAATTTAGGTAAGAAAACCCATTTGACTTAAAGAGTTTTTGCTACAAGAACACTTAACAGAACGACTTTTTCAGTGAGTCATAATTACTGATACTCAGAGTGATGACAGTAGGCAAAAACTATTCTGTAATGCCTTCTGAATAACTTGTTTTGTAGCTTCCACATTATAAATTTTTAAAAATCCTTAAAACCTGGTAACATCTTTGGTTGAATTAATATTGGTCATTTGGTTAAATAACATTGTAATTCTCAATTATATCAGAAGAGAGGCTATGACACATTAAAGAGAAAACCTGTTTATTGGATTGATGGACTGTTTGGCATCAAGGTTATAATATTATGTATTATTCCACAAACTGGAGTCTTTAGATTGGTAGCCTGTGGAAAGGTTCATCTTATTTTTATGAATGAACTTTTTTTGAAGTTGTGTGAAAAAGGGGGCTTTGTATCTTTTTAATGAATGGTACACAGCAGCAAAATAACACAAATGATCAGAAAAGTTCTATTAACAAAGAACAGTTTGCAGTGTTACTGTTCAAATTCAGTTATAGTTAACTTATTTGAGATGAATATATGCTGCAATTTGAGCTATTTATTTTGGATAATGAATACCTTTTTAAGGAAGCCCAGCTCAAGCATCACATGTAACATGTAGTTAATATTCTCATATTGAAAGCTTGAACATTTGGTGTTACATATTAAGATAGTTCAAATGGTTGCCACAATTGAGATTACATGCATGTTAGGTAGTATTTTGATCTCAGATTTTATAGAGCAGGACTAGAACCTTGGCGGCTGTTCATTTCAGCTCTCTTGAGGATGGAGGTTAATTTTTCACAGGAAACCCCCTACTGCTATTTACCTCTCCCTTCCAAAAATGTTTTCTTAAGGGTAGTTTCAGTTCTGGATCATTATCTCATTACACTACTTGGGAATTCTGGTACAAGATCTCAGAGGACCGTATTTACACCTCTTCAGTGTAAACACAGTTTTTGTGATAATACACATAGAAGGTATTTCTACCCCTTCTCTAATAGGTGAGCTGATTCTTTACACACTTGGGCAGAGGTAGAATTCCCAGGAATGATGATTTAGAGTAGACAGGGACCTAATGCAGCAAAGCAACTAGCAGGAATTCAGAGGAATAGGCTTTGCCCCTTGACATTTAATACAGGGCAAAGTATTATCTAGTAGGTACCTGCCAAATGGAGAGTTGTATAGTTTTATGGCAGTCAATCACAATCTTCAAATCGGATATTCTGTCCAGGTGGGATGCCATAAGATGTGACAGACATTCCCTGAATCTTCGTTCCTGATTCTAAAATATGATTTTAAAGCTGTTATGTATTACAAAGAATGACAAGCAGCACTTAAAAATATTTAGTAAACCCGGTTTATTTACATAATACATATTTTGTCATGCAGCTTACTGAATTGCAGTTAGTGTAATAACAAAAAAAGACAAGCACTGTCTTGCTATTTGAAAATGGCTTAATATAGAAAGATAATTGTTTCTTAAATGAGTTAACCACAACCATATAAATTGCGAGACAATTTAAAACAGCCATAGATAATTTTAAAATGTACTTGTAAAATCTGTAGGCAAAAGCTTTTATAGTTCACACATTGGTAAAATTAAAACCAGTCTTTTTTAGTACTGTAACTGGATAGTATATTTTAATCTTATTTTAATCTATAAAAACAAAAATAAATATACATCATTACAAGGCTCAGATTTGTAGACAACTTTAAAATATTTTTTAATGTTAACAATGTCTTCAAAATTTTACCAGTAGTGCTGTGCACACAGTAGGTGGTCATTAAATGCTGACTGACATACAGAAGTGTTTCTAGTTGACAGCAATCCACATTCATTCATTCATTCCCTACTTTATAATAAATACATCAAAGCAGTGAAAAAATGAGAGGATAACTTTCTTACAATATTTAACATTTTCATAAAAAGTTGAAATGTTTACACGGAACAATTTTCCTACAGAAAGACCTGTACACCCTTTAAATTCAAAGAAACACTGATTTAAAAACACAGTATGCTCTTTTTATGTATTAATTCAGATGGCAAGTATTAATTCATATACTAATACAGGGATTGCAAAAATTGAAATGATTCAATTTTTTTTATTTTGACAAAGTTTTCTAATAAAAATGGCTCCACACCTAAAATAATGACTTTCCTCTCATTTTTAACTTAAGTATAACTACTCAGTGTCTTTTGTTTGGCCAAAATGACAAAATATCTATTTAAAGGCAATAAAATCATGTAAGCCAATAAGGGATGTTCTAGGAGAAATATACCTTCTACTGTTGCACCAAAATCTTCTATCACTTAACATATGGATCAAAATTTTAACCTTATAAGGTAAAATAGCCATTTTCAAAGCAGGGTTCCATCATCACGATGGGTAAGACATGGTATTCCTTTACTGAGCCTCCTGGGGGGAAATTCTCTTTGCTGAGATACTAGCATGGGGAATTTATATTCCAAAAACACTACACTGGAAAAGAAACACAACATTTCACTGATGTATTAACTGAGGCACATTAAAGTGACTTTCCAAATATCGTATGTACAAAAGGCATTTTGGGAATAAGCTTCATCATCAATTAACATTTTTTCTGATATTCAGTAATTTTGCTGTTCTGAAAATACACCAATATTTAAAACAGCTCATGTCAACTCATTAAGAAACTTGGGTAATATTTTATATTCCAATAAACAATGTAAGTTTTTATGAATGTCTGCTTTAAGGGATTTAATGCATATGAAAGACCAAAGAATAAGAGGGCTACAATGTATGATAGGGCAGTGAGATCTATTTTTTTAAGTATATACAATAAAGAGAAAGTTTAATGCTTCAGGTCCAAATATTAAGTGTTTATCAAGATTCTGAGTTATCAATGCAATGCTAACACATGCAGAAACCAAGGACTAGAGCACAGGTGAATAAGCGTATTATCAAATGGGGTATCTGCATGACTTTGTTCTAAGGCTTAAGGTTCATTTCAGGGTCAAGACAGGGCCATCTAGATTCTATGGCCTTGAAAGTAGCACCCATAAAGCTGGGAACCCCCATCACTGGATATTCAGGACTAAAAATTCAGAGAGTTGAAAGCTCTGGAATTTTGGGATCAAAAACCTGCTGTAATCCACTCACAAGAATTCAGTTATTATATGGAATTAATATCTGGAATTAAAATGTTTAGGTGGCTAATGACTATGTTGTTTGATCACATAATTTGTCTAATCCTGTACTTAGTTTCTAATGTGATTCTTATCTGATAGAAAATGACATGTTCTTTTCCTCTTCTCAAACCTTCTCTCAACTTGCAGGAGAAGTTTAAAGCTTTTGTTCTGGAAAACTAAAATATCTAATGTTCTTAGGGAGAGAAGAACCTATAGCTAAAGGATATAATCTCTGAAGTGCCAGTTTCTCACAAATCATGTACTTAAAAGCTAGTGATTATTTAAAATCACTATCCTAGCTTGCATTAAGCATAGGCTGAAACAACTCTTGACTTGATTAGGCACTTAAACTTGGTAATTTACTGAAAATAGTTAAGCACATAGGATGACTCCATTTTCTAATGGAGATGAGCCCTTCCTAAGGAAATTAAGCTGGTGCTAAGTAAAATGAATCCTATTTCAACACTAGTTTCCCATTCATCATTGTTATTCAGATATTTCTTATGATTGCCAACTAATTTTCACTTTCTGTACAAGCAGCAAATTAGTAGTTTTAAGGGTTTTGTAAAGCAGCTATTACTACAGATCCTTAAGTATACTTTTTTCCCCCATTTTTATAAAGCGTTACTCAAAGAGGAAAAAGGGAAAACGAATGGGAATTTTAGAAATAGTGGGGTATACAATTCCCCATTATATATTGCTTAACAACTGAATTCACCAGGTGGCCATACCTAATTCACAAATGTGAAACATAGTCAGGACAAGGCTTGCTATGTCTGTACTGCATGACATACACTGTTGACTGATGCCACCAATATAACATCACTACTGCAAGGATATGCCATATTTGGTGGCTTGATCCGAGGTAGTTTAGTTGTCCTGGAAAGAAGGTAGAAAAAAAAAAATATTGATTTCAATATGTTGACATTAAAGGAAAAATATATTTCTTGGAAGTATAGTTTAGCAGAAAAATTTTCATAGTCTCAGAGTGCCTAGAGACTAACTGGAGATCCAAACGTTTTTAAAAATGGATCAATTCATATTTGGGTCTAATTTTAAGGTTTTATTTATTAAGTGCACAGGTAAACTTCAGAAATGCTCTTCCAAGTGTGTTTTCAAAATCTAACTTAATTTCAGGAATTTGACCTTATGCCTCCCATGTCTCACATCTGGCAGAACGAACAACAACAACAAATTATTGAGAGAGGCAAAAGAAACTAGATGTTAAAAATCATGGGGTGATTTAGGTATAAATCTGTGAGAAGCAGATATACTGTTGGGTTTCGATATAAACCTACTAGAAGCACTTTTTATTTCAAGCAGGCGTGCAAAGAAAAAGTGCTGACCTGAATCCTGTGCTCTCTAACTAATGGAATAATCTGCAGGATGTAATTAGTAATGGCTTAATTAACTAAGGTTATTTCATATACAACTTCAGAGAACAATTTAATCTCTTTGTGGTCAAATGTTAAATTCTAAGAAGATTAAACAATTAACATATGGAAAACTTCTTGATCTCTCTTAGCAAATAACAAAATACAGAGCTATAATAATTTCAATGTAAATAACATACTCATGGTACTTCTATGGTCATATAATGTAAATATTCTCTAACCTCTCTTTTTTCTTACCAATCAGTACAGTACACAGATTTTAAAGTGTATGTCAACAAGATTCTTAGCCTTTTTTGTACCATGGACTCTTTTGACAGTCTAGTGAAGCCTACAGACTCATTTTTTAAAAAACAAAATACAGCAAATATTCATTATCTAACACAACTATCAGAGATCCACTCAATTTTATCCACACACCTTGGGGATCCTTGGACCCATCAAATGCCATTGTATTGTGTATACATTTTTAAACATTCGACCTGAGCTGAATGAAAGCTTTTAGGTTAAAATTTATTTTATTTCCCAGTGGCCAGCTCATACATGAGGACTTGCCAGAGAGAGTTTCTAAGGCATTTGTACATGAACATTTGAGACTATCACTTTTCACTGTAAAGACTTGTAATTTTTTAGTTTCTGTATCTCCACTGCTCTCATGTACCCGAACTCAACATGTTCTGCTACATAGGGCACATTTTATGTCAAGTTATGTCTTGGGGAAGGTTAAGTTACAACGAGTTTGATTGTTTATAGATGGTCTATATTAAACGACTGGTAACTCCTGATCTGAATATTTTAAGGCCTAAAACCCACTATGGTCATAATCACATAGAGAATTTTCATGGTTTGGTGTTCTACTTATCTATTATAAAGAAAATACAGAATTTTAAAAAGAATTATTAATAAAGTGATACAAAAATATGTTTTACCAGAATTGTTTTCTGAGGGAAATTCTGGCCCTGCCTGGAAGATGGGTGGTCTTCAATTCAGTGGCATGTCCTAGATCTGTTCCCAAATCCTCCTGTTTACAACTCAGGTTTTCCCCTGTATTTCCGTTCTTGTTTAAAGCTCAGTGGTGAAAAACCAAGTACACAGAGGAATGCCTGAGGATCCGTGGGATGCATTGTTTAGGCCAGGGTTTCTCACCCTTTCTTCTTCCCCAACACACGTGATGAGTGGGACAATCCCTTCTCTGATTCTTAACCCAGGAAGAAGAGGGGATAAATTTGCAGTTTAGATTTAAACTGCTCCCTGACTTTTAGCTCTCCAAACTGAAAAAAACATCAGTTTTATGCACTCTAAATGTTATTTCTGACCCATGCCAAAACTTACCTGGATTTGCGTCACTCTGTCTCTCACTAAACCACATATTTCACTTATAAGACCAGGGCTGGGGGACACAGTAATAACTGCTGTCATTTATTCAGTCCCTACTAATTGCTAGAAACCTGGTTACATGATATGTGCATTTTCTCATCTAATCCTCATTAAACTGTGTTATATGCATTTTTTCATCTACTCCTTACCATAACCCCAGGGGGGCGGAAAAAAGTATTTCCATGTTTTAGATAGGAAACTGGAGCTGAGAGCGCTTAAGTAACTTACTTAGCTCACGTAACTAGAAAGTGGTTGATGTGGGTCTTGAACCCAAGCAGTCTGACTCCAGAGCTAAAGTTCTCAAACAAGCAAATACAGGTTTTGGAGACTGTTGTTCACTCCACCCAGTGTCCTCTTATTTTCCATCTGAAAATATTTTCTTTGGAATGAAGAACAAAAAAATCTATTGGCTTGTGTATCTTGGAAACACAAAGACTCTTAACTTTCACTATTTTCTTCCTAGTGCTGGGTGCCAGGAAGCCTAAAGCCAGCTTTGTCACCATTATCTATTTTATAGACCCTTTTGATTACATATTGTGATGTGATCCTATACCTCACTTATTTTCACTATCTTTTTCTGGAAACATAAAGACTCTTAACTTTCACTATTTTCTTCCTAGTGCTGGGTGCCAGGAAGCCTAAAGCCAGCTTTGTCACCATTATCTATTTTATAGACCCTTTTGATGTACATATTGTGAAGTGATCCTACACCTCACTTCTTTTCAGTATCTTTTTCTTACTGTCCTTTGCTTCTTATTTCTTGCTTTATATATCTCTGCATATATAAATTACTTTTAAACAACCAGCTGGCATATAAAGAAGTAAATGGTAGTTGACGGTGTCCTACTTTTTAAAAGAAATAGTGGTTGGGAGTCAGAAGACTCAAAAGTCTAATGTCAGCTTTGTCACTAGTTCATAACCACAAAACAGTGACAACTCCACCTACTGGACTCAACTCACATGGTCAGGATGAAAGGAAAAGTTGTGAAAGCCCTTTGAAAGTTTTAGGTAACATTTGGAAAGAGAGGAATCATTTCCATAATCAATAGTATTAAAAAATGAAACTAAGTTTTGATGCTGTGATGCATACACCTTGGGCATATATTTAGGATAACAATACAAAACTGCTATAAAAGAGACACCTACCTGGAAAGTACCGCTCTGGGACTTTGGAAATGTAGAATAGGAAAGCAAGAAGAGCAATCATATACATCACAATTACACGGGGTGCAAAGTCCTGAAAAGCAAAACATGTTTTTTTACAGATCTTCCTGTTACTGAACTCCAGATTTATTACGAATCTAATAGTTGGATTTAAGATTGTTAAATCTGAATTGTTTTGCAGACTGTCTCCAATAATGAAACTTGTTCTCATATGCAGGAAGCAGTCTGCAAGAATGGCACACAGAGAGTGCTCTAATGGTCAGGCTCCTAAAGGGGCTGGAGCTTTAACATGCTGAAGTTCCTAAGGGCACCCAACTCCATCTGCAACATAGGTATATGGGTAGAATGCATATGGAAATAGAGTTGGCAGGTAAATAAGCAAAGACACTGAAGAACAGGAACTTATGGCTGGAAAAGACCTAAGGGGTCTCCCCAAGACAGAAATCTGTTCCAATATCCCAGATAAATGGTCCTCTTGAATACTACTATATGAAGCACTTTGTCTCACTGCTGACACAGTATTGAAAAGACTTTCCTGGCCCTGAGAAAATCCAGCAAGCTATCCTTATACATACTGTTCCTAATACTGGTTATAAACCTAATTTACCAAGAACTCATTTAATAAGGACAGGCTGGGTGCATGGCCTATGCCTGTAATCCCACCACTTTGGGAGGCTTTGGCAGAAGGATCGCTTGAGGACAGGAGTTCAAAACTAGCCTGAGCAACACAGTAAGACCCCTCCCTCTAATTATTTATATTTTTTTTGTAAATTAGTGAGACAGGAGCTTTCAAAACTAGCCCTGGGCAACATTAGTTAAGAGCCCTCTCTCTCTACAGATTTTTTTTTTTTGTTTTTAGCTGGGCGTGGGTGCCGTGGCATGCTTATTTAGGAACCTAAACGTACTTAGGGGGCTTGAGGTGGGCGACGCTTGCTTGAGCCAACGAGTTTGGGAAGCCCAATAGGAGACGCTGTGTTGTCAAAGAAAATAAAAATAAACGGACAATTTTCTCCTTCCTCATTTCAGAATATGAGAATCATCATACGACCCTCCCAAACTCCTATATTTTTCAGATCTATTTCAACCTCAGGATGTTCTCAAACATTCGTATAAGCATCAAAGTTTGATCCTGGCCTCCCCAAGTTGGAAACTTCCAGAACTTTTTATCTTGTTAAAGTGCCGTCTTTCCATCTTTTTTAAAAATTTAGAGCTTATCAACAAATTCTGTGAAAGTTTTCCTTTGCTGGTCCTCACTGAAAGCTGCTGATCATGATGACGCCACTTGAGAATATAGTATTCTTTAAGGCCATCTTTCCGTTTTAAGATTGTCTGAATACAAAAAAAATAAATAAAAATCTCCTTTTTTTTCCTTAACTTCTCTAAACATTCCGTGGACCTATTAGGACCCGATTAGGTCTGATTCTTTTGTCCATTATAGCTTAACAAAGGAATGTGTTTATTCACATCCAAAAATTTTTGGTACTTCTATGTCAACAATTATTACCAGTTGGAATTTATTTACAGTGGCAGTTCCTCCATTGCGCAATTTTCTTATTATAAGGGAAATCAAAAATTGTCAGAAAGATGCGTTTTCACAGATAAGGGAGCGTCACTGATTTCCTCTCCACTACTGTCTCACCTCTTCTCCCAATAATCCTATGTGATAGAAGACGATCATTACCCTTGTCCTCAAATTGGCCAAATGGCAATTATATCACTCAATTGACTCTGTCACAGAACTTCCTTTCTTTTCAAGCTGTACACCCCAACTGTTTTCCACTATTGCTGTTGGCCAACTTCATGCAAATAAATGTAGGCCTACTAATGGGTCTCTTCCTCTTCTAATAAAATCTGGATTCTTTTGAAGTAAAACCCACCCTTAAAGTCACACATTCTAGAGAAAGGTTACCATTGCAACGAGTATATGTGATTTCTGTCAGATTTCTTGGGTATTTACTTGTATTAAAAATTCTCAAGTTTACTGTCTTAGTGCATACATAGAGCATTTTTACAATTGATCTCTAAGAATGTAAGGTCTTATTTCAAATCCTTTTCTCAAGAATCCTGGAGTGGCTCACTGGAGACTCTTCCTAATGCACATCAACTGTTCCCCCATAACCACTGATTGCTAACAAAGAGGCTTCTTCTTTGATTTTCAATATTTGTCGTCAGGTGGATTCACATGCTTCCCTGCTCCAGCTTACCAATACAATTGATGATTTCAAATGCTTATTGCCAGTGTCAACTGCTAGCTAAAATCCAGATCCTATTTCTCGTACCTTTGGGTACCCCAAAGGTCATCGGTCAACATAAATTCCTCCCAACTTCCTTCACCCTAAAAGATCAGCTGCTCCCTATTTCTATACTTGTGTGTATCATTTGGCATTATCACTGATCCAGCAAGGGGACAAAGCTAGAAACTTTGAGTCCTCCTCCACAAATAAGGACTTGGGTATTTATATACTAACGGGTAACAGAGGGATAATAATGGTATTCTTTTACAAGAAAGACAAACTCAGAGAAAAACAGTATTCAGGTTTTTTACCTCAACTTCTGCAAGGTATGCTTATTTATATGGCTGTGAAAAATTTATGGCATCAATATTTGCAATTACAAATATGTTTCTCAAATGGGACAACATCCCACCCACTTGGCTTGATTATACTACCTTTACCCACAAAGAGAGTAAGATTGAAAGGCAAAAAAAAAAAAAAAAAAGAGAAAAATATCAAACTACACTCAACCTACCTGTAACAATTAGGAGCACCAATTTCCCTCCTTGGCGCCTAAAACCCAAGTGGAAGAGTAGGAATCACTCCATATCCCGAAACAGAACAAAAGATGATAGAACGGAGCCTTTGCCATTGCTGCGTGAGGTAATTGGGATGAATCTGCGCAAAGAACACTGCCAGGATCATAGCAAGCACTGTGATCAAGTATACCTGACGCCAGTACTAGAATGAAAGGAAATCACAGTTTAATTCTGTTATTAACAATAAGGGAACTGAAAAAGTAATTTTGGCTTTTACACTACAAATTCCAAACTCTATTTACTTGGTATTTGCATTTCAAATTCGGATTACCTCCCTTCCTTAAAACATATGTTCCATACAACTTTTAGGTTGGTCACAATGACAAACCAAATTCCAAAGTGAGCTGGTAAAAGACTACATTTATTCACACAAAAGCATTTTCTGATTACCTATTACATGCCATGCACAGTTCAAGTGCTATAAAAGCAAAGATGACTATGACATGAACTCTCCCAGCAGTGAGCTCACAGACTATGGGAGGGGCAGACATGTCAACAAATGATTATAATCTTACGGTAGATACTGTAACTGAGGAACAGAACACTGCAGAACCACAGAAGAGGGAACAATTAACTTCACTTGGGGTAGCTAAAAAATGCTTCATAGAGGAGATGACATCTAAGATTTTGTGGGAAGACAGAGCTCGCGAGGAAAGAGAACAGCAAATGCAGCAGGAAGTTTTGAGAAGAAAGGCTGAAAAGGCATACTGTTAGGCTAAATGTTTTGAACTTCACCACACTGGCATTGGAGGAACAGCAGAATTCTTTAAGAATAGGATGACACAGCTGTTTTTCAAACTGACTTATTAGAAAGACAACTCTGACATCAGTGTAGAAAATAGGTGACAGGAAAACAGCTAGAAAGATATTAGTTTAGTTTATTCAAAGAGAGAGTGGGGGCTTGGACTCCTGTTGAATAAAGTAGATGTGAGCACCAGATTTAGGAGGCATTTTTGAAATAAGCTTAAGTCTTAATGGCTGACTGGATGTGTGAGAGGGCAGTAGAGGAAAGCTTGACTGTTTTTAGCCCGAAAGGACACATAAATGGCTTCTATTAATGAAGCAAATGAACAAAGATGATCCAGGTTTGCTGTGTGTGTGATGGGGGAAGAGAACAGGGGCATGAGAGAACACACACTTAGCTTAGGTTTGAAGGGCTTATGAGATATGTAGGTATTTAAATAAGCACTTAGCTGGTCTTAAAGTCAAAAGTCACATAAGACAAGAGTTCTTAATCTGGGCACCAAGGACTTTTTTGGGGCTATTAACTTCCTGAAATCAAATGTCAGATTGTTTGTTTAAGTGTGTGCCCAGAAGTACATTCTACTGGATCTAGGGTCCACAGTTTTCAATCTCATTCTGAAAGCAGCTGTGTTCCTTAAAACGTAAAACGAGTCTTTTATAGGTCTACAGCAACTGAGTATTTGAAAATGATTAGAAACCAGATGGAAGAAAGCAATTTTTCAATGATCATGGACTGACTGTATCAGCTCCAGTAGTTCCCTTATCTGTTTAATCTATCTTGGCCTTTTAGTTTTTCTGGTAAGAGATTTACAAAAAGTATCTCACTTTGATGTTTAGCAAGAGATAAAGGAAAACAGTTTCAGAGAAATACAGAATAAAATAAGCAAAAGAATTCAGATATTACATGGCTGTACTCACAAGCACCTGGTTATCAGTATGCTCTAATTTTTTAAAATCATATAAACTGTTTCATGCAAAATGGTTAAGTTATGAAAGCTGGGCAGAGCTAAAATCAAGTCAATTTACAACAAGGTTACCTGCATATATATTTAATTATGTGCTTGTGTTCCAAAGTGATTAGGCCTAAAAAGCAAATGGCTCACGTTTAAGCAGCTACAATTAATAATGTTCTTACGTATTCAAGTCAAATTTATGATTTTTCTCTTCACTAATTTTCACACCAGATATGTTGACAGTTTTCTCTATCATTGTGTAGAGACAAAGGTCCTACTGAAAAATCCCAAGCAATCTGAGAAATTCCACACTGCGGCCAATCTTCCCAATAAGTGAAGGCTGAGGACTGTGCCTCAGAGTGGTCCCCAACCTTTCTGGCACCAGGGACTGGTTTTGTGGAAGATGATTTTTCCATGGATCGTGATGCGGGGAGGCAGGCAGAGATGGTTTCAGGATAATTCAAGTGCATTACATTTATTGTGCACTTTATTTCTATTATTACTACATTGTAATATATAATAATTATACAACTCATCATAATGTAGAATCACTGGGAGCCCTGGGCTTGTTTTCCTGCAACTAGACCGTCCCCATCTGGGGGTGATGGGAGACAGTGACAGATCATCAAGCATTAGATTGCACAACCTAAATCCTTTGCATGTGCAGTTCACAATAGGGTTTGTGCTGCTACGAGAATCTAATGCTGCTGCTGATCTGACAGGAGGCAGAGCTCAGGTGATAATGCGAGCCATGGGGAGTGGCTGTAAACACATATGAAACTTCCCTGGCTCACCAGCCCACTGCTTACCTCCTGCTGCATGGGCTGGTTCCTAACAGGCCACAGACAGGTTCTGGGGGTTGGTGACCCCCAGATATGTAGGGCACCTGCAGATACCTGCCTTAGAGCACCTGTTACATGGTGGGCCTTGGGCAGGACAGGCTCTATTCTTTGTGATTAGGACTAGAAATAACTAGTAGGTATACTGCTCCTGAGGGAGAAGCTCAGTCTTGGTTCTGAAAGGGAGGTAACTAAAAGGGCAAAAGAAAAAACAAGAGTATGGTAGAAAAACAGGAAGAAAACAAAGTAGGGTGGAAGGGGACTTTCTGAAAGGGAGAACTTGAGATGTACTGACCCCATGGGAACATTCAGTTTGTCTTCTTGGCTGGAACATGAGGTGATAACTTAGGGTTCACTCCATAAGGTTTGGTTGGCCAATATTTTTAGGTCAGGTGCTATATTATCTGATTACAGTGTTGCAAATGCTGCTTTGCACAAGGCAAAAACTGACTTGTGTGTGAACTTAGGGACAGAAAGCAGAGTTGATCCAGAACTCAGAAAAGACACATCTCACATTTGTTAAAGACACTTACTCACTCCTATCTGGTCTGTCTTACGAGCCTACCCCAAACATAAGACTGAAGACAGGAAAACATATTTTAGAGAAGAATATAGGCTAATAAATGCAGACACATTTTCCTGTTTTTTTTTTTTTTTTCACTGAGAGGAGAAAAAAGAAATGGAAAGCAGTAACCAACCTCATAATTTTAACAAGTGTGAATTTTAACTTCAGTTCTATAAACACACAAATAAAAGATAAATAATGTGAATATTTGAGGAACCATGCAGCCATATAGATTTAGTGAAAACATTAATAATTTAATGTCTACATTAAGTTTCAGAAAATAACTGTATATATATTTTCCAATAAAAAATTAGTAAAATAAGTATAGAACTAATAATAGATGTTAGAGATGACAGGGCCATTTTGAAAAATAAGTTTATGCTTATACAAAACTCTTCTACTTATTCTATAAGTTAATTATGTACTTATTAAGAAGTTCAAAAGAACCAAGGCAAGAAAACCCAAGACCTATACGAAAGGTAGAATGTAAAATGTTTCAATCTACTTACGTTATTACAATAAAATGCGTAAAATACTCCTGAGACATAGCAGCCCAGTATTCCAATAGAAATTCCTGCATAATCTAATGCCATCCATCTTCGACATGTTTTTTCTGACCGATGGCAGGAAAAAAGATGATAGCCCACAGAGCAGAGCATACAGACCTGTGAAAAATAAAAACAAATCTTAACAAAGTGACTGAAGAAACTAAAGCAACTTATGCATGATGTTCAGGGAAATAGTTAAAAGGCTAGGCTTTCAATTCAAACATTTATGGGCTTGGATTCTAGCTCTGTGCCTTACAGTAGAGCGAGCCATGTCATTACTCTAAAGCCTCAATTTCCTCATGGGTAATATGGAGATAATAATGAGAAAATTTAAAATAACTACATTAAAAAATGAAAATTATAAATAAATAGCACAGTAATGGGAAAGTTATACAATGCGAATGTTTTAAAACTATCATCTGAGGCTTATTTTGATCCATGAATTTGTTTTTAAAGAGTATTTACTATAGAAGCAATACATATCCCTAAAAAAATCAAAGAACATAAATATAAGCCACTCTTAATCTATTCCCCAGAGGTAGCCAGTGATAACATTTTTTATGTGTCTTTCCAGATATTTTCAATACATATGTCAAATACCTGTGATATATTAGTCTGTACACATGCACTCATTATATATATATACACACACACACACACACACTTTAAAATTAAATGAAATCACACTATGCATTCTGTTCCACAATTGGCTTTTTTTTTCAGTTAAGAATTTTCATGTCTGTATGAGATTCACTGTATAGAGTTTACTTTTAATTTCTAAGGTAAACACAGCTTTATTGCCTTCAAGAAAAAACAGGCTGGTGTAGTAGTGGCTCATGCCTGTAATCCCAGCACTTTGGGAGGCCATGGTGTGAGGATTGCTTGAGCACAGGAGTTCAGGACCAGCCTGGGCAACATAGGAGGACCTCATTTCTACGACAAACAAACAAACAAAATTAGCTGGGCATGGTGGCATGCACCTGTGGTCCCAGCTACTTGGGAGGCTAAGGCAGGAGGATTACTTAAGCTTGGGAGATCGAGGCTGCAGTGAGCCATGACTGCCCCACTATGCTCCAGCTTGGGTGACAGTGAGACCCTGTCTCAAAAAAAATAATAATTTAAAAAACAATCATGACTTGCTAACTTTATATGGTTGCCAAACTGAGAGTAAAGCTAATCTGATTCAATCAGCTGCTCTGATAATTGATGAGGTTTCTATGGCAGAATGCCTTTCAGCCATCAAGCACCTGCCGTGTGTCATACATTGGAGGTGATATAGAATCACTGAATAGTACAGTAGCAAATCCTACTGTACTTCGGTGCAGAGCATAATTGGAAAAGGTGGGAGGATATTGACTCTGTGAGGGTACATGTGCATTTGGAGGGTGGGACTGGTGGGAAGAAAAGAGCATCAGAGAAGGGCTGTTCACCTGAGGCGGATTTTAAAAGTTGGGCTGGCATTCACCAAGGACATAAAAAAAGGTGTGCACATATTTATGGCTGAGGGGCAGAGATTAAGGAAAAGCATCATATTCTTTATAATATGATTATGACATGTCCTACACATTAATGGGTTTTAACTTCAATATTATGGGTATAATATGATATGCCTGAAGATTTTAAGTGCCCCCTTACAGAGGTGTGGACTAGAAGGGCTGAAACAGGAGGTTATAGGAATAGCCCTGGAGAGCACGTACTGAGACAGTGACAGTGGGGTGCAGGCAATGGGACAAACAAACAATATAAAGTAGGTACAACCGATAAACATTTTGTAAGCAATTGCTAAGGCAGTAACATGGTCATCCAGCTATTAATATTTTATATTCTGGTCATTAAACAAATCTAGTTACTATAGACTCAATATCAATATTCAGTAACAATGTACTTTGTCACAACTTCATTGCTTCATCAATTGTCTAAAATCCTTAATAGTCTATAGCTTTTTGGTTACTAAGCAACCAACTAGTAACTAACTCTAAGTTCGTTATTTAAACGTAACTCTAAGAAGCCTGGTTATTTGTTTTCTCAGATTATCCTTGAGATTAAGCACCATAAATCAGGAGAGCATAAAAGCGTATATTTCTCATTGATGGGGAAACATCCCATTGCCACAATGTTGAATGACACAAGAGCAGGTCGCAAAATAGCAAGCAGGGATGACTGTAGCTTGGAAGTAGGTAGACAGGTAAGTGAGCAGGCAGGTAGGCAGGTGCAAGGTAGCTATGCATACACAAACATACACATTTGGGTTAAACTCATTGTTTAACGCAAATGTCCAATGTAGTTACCTCTGAAAAGTGGAATTTCAAGTGACGTTTTCTTCCATAAACTTCTGTTTGCCTAAATTTCTACATGATTATATCTTGTAGTAATAATTAGAAACAAAAATAAAGCTCACTTCATTGTGAAAAAGAAAATAAAAAGAGGAAAACGAAAACTATGGTATCTAAGGGAAAAGTAAAATAGTGTTAACAGAAAACCCCAGATTTTAAAGTTAACCCATACCTAGTATGCCCTGTTTAAGAAGGAATATGTTATTCCTAGAGCTCCTTTAAAAATGGACTGAAAGATAATCTGGGAAATTGGGTATGTTTCAGTTATAATGGAAAGTTTCCTTCTATGGAGTATCTCACTCCATCAAGGTAGACAGATAATTACAGTGTTACATCCCACATCGAAGCTCCTTGGCATGATAATAAAATATCTCATGGTTTGATCCCTGCCAATCTCTCCAGCCTTATCTTTCTCCATTTTCCTAGGTTTCAACCACAAAAACCAGTACCTGCAAGTCCAGAAAGTGCTAAGAAAGTGAGTCTTGCTTCTTTTTTCCTGCTTAAATGCCACCTCACTGTCTCTTCTGCACGCCTACAAGTGGCTTGACCTTTATACCAGATTGGTTCTGTTCAGCACTGTTCAGATACTAGCATAGTATCTGGATGTATATAGGATGCATTCAACAAATATTTGTTAACTGAATGTAAATGGATCAAATCTAGCAAAAGGCATTATTGTATTCTGACATTCTTCTCCAAAATACAAATACCCTGGAAGGTTCAAAGCCCCTGAATTACATTCTACTGTTCAGAATGTACTCTATTAATCTGATTGCGAGGAAAGCACTAAAGCATATAGAAGCATAGGCGTGAGAAAAATGTTGTATCTTTTAATATTAAATGTAAATCGTCTTTTAATATTAAATGTAAATCAATATTAATAAATACATTTACGGTTTACTACACTGTCCACTGACCCTAAGAATCTGAAAAACTCAGGTGAACAAGTTATAATTTGATAAGAAGTGGTCTTTTCAAGTAGGGAAGATGTGCTCATCTGTCTTGAGTAAGTTGTACAGCATATATTGTAACAATGATCATTGCACTAGCAATTAGGAGAACAGGATTTTACTGCCCTGCTGAATAATCCTGGGCAAGTCACGGTAATACTTTGGCTCTGTTTCTTTATTGGAAATTGTTGTAATTATTTAATCCTTTTAGTTTTGCAATGTATTGTTTTCTTACGTCAATACTGAAATTAATACACATTCTCTGAACTAACATCAGCTGTGGCAGGTGGTGAAGGCATAAAGAATAGGCCTCAGCATAAAGGAAAAGAGCAGGGATTCTCAAAGTAGATAATATGCATATAACTAACAAGAATAGAAGCCAGTTTTTACTTAATGATTATTAAGAGCATGTTAATCTATACTGAGATGCACCTAAAAATTTAAAAAGAAATTGATTCATTTACATTACAAAATTGGTTATGGATTGTAAGGGACATTTTGGCTGAAATCAGGGCAAAAATTAAACCTCAGAAAGAGTACATTTTAAAAAAATATTTGAAGGAAAAATAATTTTCTAATAACAGAAATAGGTTATGCTTTCCCTCAAAGAAAATTAAAATATTATTCCAAAAATTGGAATTAATAAAAAAGGGGAAGAGAGATTTGTTTTGCTGTGTTTCTTGGCCATTTAAGTCCAAAGTTTAAACTTGAGTAAAGCGATGACACTCTGAAATAAAATGATACACAACGAAAGCGACATTTGTGCAGCTGAGTTATGAGGTTCACCTCTCAAACTCAGCAGCAACAGGCTAACTGCAGGGAATAGCTAGTCTGTGTCTGTCATGAGAAAGGGGGATAATAAGTTTTTCTTTTCATTTTTCTGTTTTTCTATATTCTCTGAAGCAGAAAAAATTGTTTTAAATGTCAATAGAACTATAGCCCACATTTGTTTTCTGTTTCAAAATTATCTGTTTGAAATCTACTAAATGTAACTTTTAAAGACATTTTTACAGGTTCTTGAAAAATGCCAGTGCTATGGAACTAACAAATACAGGAGGTAGAGAGGAAAATAAACTGAAAGTATTTGAAGCCAGGCCAGTGAGTTCAAAATAAATTAACATTAAAGCAACAGAGCAAAAAATCAATACCAGCAAAACAGGACAGTAAAATATAGTATGGAAATAACAACTACAAAAATCACAGATGCAAACAGGAAAGAGATGAGAAATCTTCCCCAACAAGTTTTAAGTAGACACTAGTGTTATATTTCAGCCAGCTAATAGAATACAAAGATTCCTACTTTTTTTATTAATCTTAAAGCAGAGGTGCCCAAAAAGAAGAGGAAAGAAACAAATTTTTCTCCATCTTTGTAATTTAATGGATTTCAAACATACTCTCATAAGAACAGACCATTTGGTGTTTATGTTATGAAAATCAATAAGCTGACCAACATGCCATTCCAGGGCTCTTTAAAGCAAGTGATAGGTCCGAGGTAAGGTCACCTGACCAAGCCTGCCTGACAAAAAGTTCTCTTTACCAATAGCAGTATTTGTGAAATGACTTACCTGGAAGCAGAAAAGACAAATAGAACAAATTACAAAATCTTCTCTGGACGCACTTGCTGAAGGTAACACAGATGTCATGTCATATATTCCCAAGGTGAAGAAGAGAAAGAAACCCAGCAAATGACTCCAGATGTTTACTGTCTCATTAGATAAAATAAACAAACTGGAAAATAAACATACATGCAACTGAGATTCACATTGGTCAACTTACTGTCACATTCAAAGGTTAGGGACAATTTTGAGGAGTTATCTAATACTTGCTCCAAAGCTCTTACCCCACCTGTACCTTTCTAAATTTGATATATTATCTAATCAAATTATTCTAAGTTTTTCCATATTGCCAACAATCTTGGGACCATAGTTTTTTGGGTGCTCACCTCTATTATCATACTTACCATTTCCTTCTCTGTATTGAGAGATTTACATACAAATTCCATCTCATCTTCCAGCCTATCAACTCCCTAATGGTCAGTACCATTCGTCTTTATGACCCCACTGTTCACAATGCCTTGCTCAGATTAGTCTACAAACTAAAGGTCTTCAGAAATGAACATGCAGAGGAAATCTGGATGTTAGGTAGCATATTCTATCAATAATACGTATCTGAAAACCTGCTCAGTGCAAGGTTAGGCATGAACTTAGAATACTTTCCTGGAGCTCATTAAATACAAATGCAAAATTAAATGGACTTAAGAGAAGCAAAATAAATATGTATGGATCCATTGGAAAGGTTCTTTAAGACAGGCATGCCAGAACAACTTTGCTGTGGATGTCTTAAAACCAGTCTAGTTTCCAGGTGGCATAAGTTTCTCATTTTCAGAAACAACTGGACTTTACTTTTAATGTGGGTACTATGTGCCCTCTTTCAAAATGCCCTGGGCTAACTGGTCTTGGCAGCACAGGTTGGTACAGTGTGTACCACCCTGAGTCAAGATGCTCACTGTCCCCACCCCACACAAGTCACTTAACCTCTCCGGGCTTCAGTTTCTTCATCTACACAGTAATGGAGCCACATTAGATGCTGCTGCAACTTTCTTCCAGCTCCTTTCTTACTTTTGGGAAATGGTTCTCCAGATGTGGAGAGGACTCATCTGGTTATTTACTAAAAGGTGACATCATGACTAAAGATTAAAATACTACTCTTGCATTTGTCTGCAAAATCTAGTATTTTTGCTTAAATTTAGGTTTTTGGTCTTCACTGATTCAGAAATCCTTGACATATTGACATTGACATATAACTCTAAATTTGTAGCAGTCACTGCGGTTCTCACGTTCTCATTTTTATAAGAAATGGAATTTCCTATTTATTTTGCTTCTCTTAAGTTCATTTCTTGTAAAAGCAAAAGCGAGAACCACAGTGAGTGCTACAAATTTAGTTATATGTCAACACTTACTAGTAAGGATTTCTGAATCAGTGAAGGCCAGATACATGATGTATATAGCAAGGTGTCAAAACTATCAAATGATCATCAAGAATAAAATGAATCTTGGATCATGAATTTCAGGCTTTATCATGTACAAAGTGTAAAGACTATTTATAACTGGAGGAAGGGATGCACGAATGTGCTTGAAACATATAACTACAAGACTGTTTTGACAATCAGTACTATGCTCTGCTTATTACTTCAGAACTTTTCTTTTTGTGAAATCCAGTATAACCAGACTAACTTAACTGAGAGGCGCAACCTCTCCATGTTCCCTGCAGCTAACAGTGGACTCGCAAAACTGCTATGACATACAAAACCTCCTCAGATTACATCCAAAATCTGTCCCAGTCACTCCTGAAAGTCAAAAGGAGAGAGGGCAAAGGCTGAACTTGGAGAAGATAAGGCTGGTGGGAAAGCAAGAACACCTCTAATAAAGAATCTACTCTTACTGTATGAAAAGTTAGGTGTCTCCTGCACAGTAGACACACCTGACAGCAGTAACTTAAGCATATCCTGAGAATGACCCTATATGAAAAACACACTTGAATGTGTTTACAATTGCAAGCATGGCCCACCCTTAGACTGATTCCTTATCTATGAGGAACATCTGAGCCCCTGTCCCTTCTCATGGAATGCTGACTGTACATGGGATGGAAGCCTTTTGTTTTGTAAATGAAGATTACCAGGTGGAGACCGTCAGGGGGAAGGGTGTTAAGTAAAATGCTATATAAACTGCATGCTTTCTGCAGGCGGCAGAGGTTCTCCCGTTCAGGTCACTGCCACTGGACCTCTCTGTAAATTACCCTAGTAAAACCCTATGTCTTGTTTACTGGCTTTGGGTCTTTTCTTCTGTCTTTCGAATCTGGTGCCATCCTTATTGAAGTTAACAGGAGTCCAGCACCACATCTTCATATTCTGTTCAGTTTTAAAATCAATAATCATCTTCATTATCATCATCTGTTCAGCTTCAAAATCATTGGTGATGACAACAATCAGCATTTATTGAGGGCTTATTAGGTTCCAGGCCATGTATAGCATTTCACACACAGAATCTAATTGAATCCTTTTTTACCTCTGGAAGCAGATACTGTGATTACCCTCATTTTTAAATGTGGGTATAATGAGGCTCAGTGAGGTTCCATTTTGCTCCAGGTCTCAGAACTGTTAAGTGGCAGATCTGGATACTAAAGTCTTTGACTCAATAGCTCAAGAGCTAAGGCTCTATACTTAATTTTCCACTCCGTGAGATTTGGACCCTAACATCAGAATGCAGAGGACCACTGCTAGTTGGGTAGAAAATATTTAAGGCAATTCACTGCTTGCCCTATTCTTGTGGAACTCCAGATCCACAGCAGAACCCAGCTGTGTAATTTACTCATGCAACAGGAGGCATTGGGGAGGAAAACGGTAATTACGCTTCAAGTTGTGAATCCTAAGGGCCATCCATTCAAGCCAAGTAGGGATGATAGTGATGTCACCTTGTGACCATGAGTCACAGAAACACTTTCATGGCAGGACAAAAGGAAAGAAGGACAGGAAAAGATAATGCTGGAAAAATCAAGAATCAGACATGTGGTTGCCGCTTGAGCAACTCAACAGCCCACATTCTGGCACTAGGGTTTGCCACTACAGTGACCTGGAGCTAACCAACATCTGTTATCTTAATTCTCCTAAAGCAGAGGTCCTGTATTTCAGTACAGGTAGTAAGTTTGGACAGTTACTCCAAGAACTAGAACAGTTATTTTTCAGTTTTGTTTTTTTTAAATACAGGTTTTCAAGAGACTGTGGTTTTAAAGGTTTAGAATGATAAAGAAATTTCCTTCTTAGAGATGCTTCTGTGGTGCTCTAGTGGAGACTCGGTGCCCGTTATGGGCTCTCTTTACCACAGTGCTTTTCCTACACAGCATTTTTTTCCACAATGGTTATTATGTAATTGTGTAATTATCTCTTTAATGTCTGTTACCCAGGCTACACCTTAGTAGCTTCATGAGAACAAGGGCCATGTTTGCTTTTTTTCTGCATGGGCTCCATAAGTATTTGCTACATGAATAAATCTTGGGCGTATATGTTAACTTGTTTCCTATGATACAGGCATTTTTCTGGCCCAAAGCTACTGAATTCCCAGAGGGTTGCTCTAAAAAGAAAGCAAGCTTAGGTATACACCGTGCAAATATGGCTCAGCCCGATTCCAACATATATCTCATTGAGTCGAATAAACCGAATAAAGGATGTAAAAGCCCTTTGTAAACAGCAAAGCGCCATAGGGGAGTTGTAATTATGATCACTGTTACTATCATGATTATTCCGTGGATCAAGTACCCCGGCCAGGTAAGGGGAGATAACGGGGGAGGAGAGGCGGTAAAAAGGGATGAAAAGGATGGGGCGGGGAGGAAATGATGGGCAACCAGAAAGGCGGGGAAAGCAGAAGGGGGACCAGACAAAAAGGGTGTAGGTGAGAGAAGGGGACACTCCAGGCGGAGGCGGCCAGACCGTACCTTTTGATACACAGCCTGGACGGCAGGTAGGCCCGGTAGCCGTCGGTGATGTACGGGTTGTCCTTGAGGGACACGGGGATCTGCTCGTAGGTGTACAGGCGGATGCCACGGGGTACCAGGACCGGCCAGTACTGGTAGCTGCCCAGCTCAATGTAATGTGCGCTCTTCAGCAGCTTCTGATGCATCGTTCCCGGCCGCCGCCGCTCCCTGGCTAGGGAGCTCCCCCAGGCCCCGCCTCCCCGGGGAGGGGGCTTTGCCGCTGGAGCCCCCGCCCCGGAGCCCGCGGACGCTGCGCGAGGTCCTACCGCGCCGCCGCTGCCCAGGGCCCGGCTCTGCGCTCACACCCGCCACTGCCGTCAGCGCCGCGGCGGACCCGGCGGCGTCGCAGCCTCCTCTGACGTCAGCGCGCCGCCGCGGCCCCGCCCCTCAGCCCTCGCTGGGAGGGGCAGGGGACTGGCGCGCGCCGGCGTGTGCTCCAGCGGGCTCTGGTGGCTGCCCGGGTGCCGGCGTCTCTGGCCCTGTGGTTTGGCGGCGCCCGGGGTGTTCGTTTGCCTGTGAGAAGAGCCGAAAGCACAGAGCTACAGGCGAATACAAGTGGATTTTTTTTTTCTTTTTCTGTTTTTTTATTAGAAGTAATAGTTGCTGCATTTTGAAAAATCAAGAGGAAAAGAGTTAACAGGAAGAAAAGTTCGAGGTAATTACCGTTTAGTTTATGCTTGGAATTACACGCACTTAGTGTCAGAAGGGACTTTGAGGATTTCTAAGCTGAAGTCAGCTCTTAGCACGATAGTTGGAAAGAGAGGAAACCTGATGCACATGGAACATACACCAGCATCCAGCACATCCTGAGCCTTAAAGGAAAGCCCCCGCGCATTCAAAACTGCGACCCAGTTCAGCGTTATGTTCTCTGATCACAGTAGAATTAAACTAGAGTAACAAGAAAACTAGAAATCTCCACGCCTGGAATCTGAGCAATACACCAAATATTTCAAGGGCTGATGAAGAAATCACAATGGAAATAAGAATATCTACTTAACTGAATAATAAAGATAGAACATATTAAATCCTGTGGAGTGCGGCTATAGTAGCATTTAGAGGGAATGTTACAGCTTTGTTTCTGGCTGTGTACTGTGATGCAAATGTTTACTTATAGTGGCAACAGGGCAAAACATCAGTTTGAGTACCGCATGTATAATAGAACCCTTAGTCCATTGTTTGGCATTGTAAGGGCAAGAAAAATATCTTGTCCTCACTTATCGCAAGGTTCATAGCTGACATTCCTATGAAAAAAATTAAGAGAAGCCGGCCGGGCGCAGGTGGCTCATGCCTGTAATCCCAACATTTTGGAAGGCCAAGGCAGGCCGATCGCTTGTGCCCAGGAGTTTGAGGCCTGAAGCGAGAGGATTGCTTGAGCCTGGGAGGTCGAGGCCGCAGTGAGCCGTGTTTGTGCCACTGCACTCCAGTCTGGGTGACAAAGCGAGACTTTGTCTCAAAAAATAAGTAATAAAAATTAACAAGAAAAGGCATAATAAATTTATTTAACAAAGTTTTATGTGACAGAGGAGTCTTCAGAAATGACACAAAGACCCAGGAAAAAATGGTCTTTTTATGCTAAGTCTGATGAAAGGAGTGGATAGTTGTGGAGAAACATGATTGAAAAGGGGCATCATCTAATGATAAACTGAGGGGGGAACCTGGAAAGGCCAGTTCATTAAAATTCTTGACCTCAGAGTATAGGGCAGGAACTCTCTAGAATGAGGGTTTTATGACCTAGTTTCAGGTGAGGTAAGTCAGAATTCCTTTGTGACCACGGAAAGGCAGGGACGGTCAGAAAGTAATCTTACTAGATTTTTTTTTCTTTTTTTTTTTTTTTTTGGTGGGGGGAGACAGAGTCTCACTTTTATGCCCAGGCTGGAGTGCAGTGGCGCAATCTCAGCTCACGCAATCTCCACCTCCCAGGTACAAGCGATTCTCCTGCCTCAGTCTCCCAGGTAGCTGGGACTACAGGCGCCCACGACCACGCCCGTCTAATTTTTGTACTTTTTGTAGAGATGGAGTTTCACCATGTTGGACAGGCTGCCCTTGAACTCCTGACCTCCAACGATCTGTCTGCCTCGGCCTCCCAAAGTGCTGAGATTACATGCGTGAGCCACTATGCCCCGTGCCTAGCCCCTTACTAGGTTTTATGGATTGCTTTAGGGAGAGAAATTCTAGGTTGTAAGACCCACTTGGGAAGAACAGGAAAAGGAAGAAAGGAGGACAGACAGAAGTTCAGAGAGACCTTAGTTCTGAGGCCTTCCCAGTCTCCTTTAGGTTAAAGAACTCAGCATGTCAAAGCACCAAACTTTGGGGTGTGGTGTTCTGAACCCTGACAACATACAATAATCACTTATAATACCTATTCTTATTATGTAGTAATATTGGTTAATTTTTGAGAAGCAGTATGGCTTAGTGATTAACATCTTGGACTTTGAAGCCATGTACTGAAGTTCGAATTTCTGTTCAATCATTGACTAACTATTAATACATGTCCTAGTGCAGGTAACTTAACCTCTCTGAGCCTCAGTTTTCTTATTGGTAGAATAAGACTAATAACAGTATTTTGTGTTGTTGAGGATTAAATGACTAAATCCATATAACAATCTTAGAAAAGTACCAGACATACTGTTAGCACTCAACAAATGTGAGCTATGTAGAGAGTTCAAGGAAAAATAATCAATAAAACTGGAAAGGTAAATTGAGATATATCCTAAGTGGACTTAAATGTCCTGTGAAGGAAGTGAGACTTATTTTTTAAGTCATGGAGCTAAAAATAATGTTTGAGAACCTACTACATGCTCAGTACATTGTCTCTACTGAAGGTTACTGTGCATAGAAATTCTCGTTTCCCAGTGTAGGACGATCATGCCTGAGAATGCCTGCCTGCCACTCCTACAGACCTCCTCTAGGAGGTTCCTTCTGCATGTATTTCTTGCTGGTACCATATGATACTACCTTGAGGCTATTGCTGACCCCTTCCTCTGCCTTCCTTCCTTCCTTCCTTCCTCTCTCCTCCTTGCGCTTTCCCCTACATTTACCTGCTAATTCAACAGTGGTTGGAGTGGAGATTCACAGGTATCCGGGATGCGTCCACAGACACACGGACTTTCACATTTACTGGAATTCTGACATGTGTCCAACAACATTTTTCCTATATGCTAACAGAGATGCAATAAAGAAACAAATTTATTAGGACAACAAACCTCTGCCAATTTCCAGCAGCACTGACATTTTGATCACTCTACCGCATTGAACCTCTCTTTTCTGGGCCTTC